TAAACAATATAAGATAAGCAAATTTTGGGGGGATGTTGTCATCAGATATTTGCGTGGATTTCCACCTGATAAGCAATAACTTACTTCAAAAGCACATCCTTCCAACATCACCTGTTCAGTGCTGATTCAAACACCAGGGGCTGGAAGACTGTGCTTGGCTCAGTTCCTACTCTATAAATAGAATTCACCACCTTTTCATATAGGACCCAGCTTTGAAACAATTGCTGTCCCAACCTACCCGATGTAACTTATTGACAAATGCAAATGCGTGCCCTTTAAAAGACAAAAGTATGTGCCATGCATTCTACAAGATTAATCTAATTGAATAGTTCAATCCAGTTGAGCCAGTTATGTTTAAGGCCACATTTAAAGAGTGGAAGGGAAAAAGAAGAATTGATGAATTGATGTATGTTTTCTTCCTAAGCTTGACATATTTGAAAAATAATACATAGGTATATTAGCACATTTCATTGTGAATTACTGCAAAAAGTATATATTAGCAAGTGGGCTTTCCAGCCATCTTCATTACTCTGCTAAGAGTGCTTAAGGAGCTAAAGACTTCATGAAATCTTTTCCTTTTCTCCACCATATAGAAAGACATGATACGTAGATAGGCAAAGGGATTTGCCTTGGGATAAAGTAAGGCCAGGAAACAGAAATAGCTCTAAATGTGAAAAATTACATACAACTCTTAGATTATCTCTTTGCTTAATAGCTTATTTAACAGTTGAGGAAGCTAAGGCCAACATAATAGTCAAGTGCTTGATGAAATCAACCTACAAAAACCATATGCAACTAAAGCACAAACAATATTTCATAGATAACAGCAATTCATTCAGCAAACACCAAGTACCTACTTTTCCTGGGCATTGAGAATGGGCAGAAAGAACAAGCCTGCTTTTGAATAGTGTGTAGCCTACTATAGTTTTTATGTGTTCCTAAATTTGAAAAGACCAAGTGATGTGTTAGAAAGCACAAGTGATGCACTGTAGGATGAATTCCCACAAGTGACTATGGCATCTTCTTAAAACATTACAGCTGGGATTGTTAGAGGTTGATATCTGGATTTCTTCTATGATGTCAATTTACACAGAAAAGCTTAACAATGGAGGGTATGGTAACAAAAGGACACCATATTTTGCTGAAACACTTGGTTCCTGTACACATGGATGCAATCTCATACCTAGAAGTGAGGATAGACATTGCAGTTCACAGAAAGCAGATGGTATCTCTGTGCGGCTTCTTATGTTTAAGTGAGATGAGGAGATATGGGTGTGACTCAGTCTTCACTCTTGTGTACAGGCAATGTGCTGTAGCAAAACAACAGTTATGTGTCCAGGCCTGCCTTCATACTTTTCTTTGGAGCATATTTTTAACCATGTTTGTCTTTAGTTGGTTTTTTTTTTTGATGAATAGAATAAGCTCAAGTGTCTCTATCTACATCACATGCAGTAGATAGCATAAATGCAAGTATTTATACTATTTAAAACTAAAAAATACCAAGTTTTGTTAGTTGTAAGCCTGACTTTTCTCCTGAGGTCCACTGTTCTGTATTTAAATTTTTGTGGCCTCTTTTCTTGACTCTTATAAAACCTGTTTGATTGCTTCCATTGGCAGTCAGTTCTGTACCCCAGCAACCAGTTACCAGAAATTCATGAACTCTTACTTCCTTTCTTCCATTGTAGCTTTTCTATAAATTTCAGTAGTTTGGAAATTTAAATAATTTCCCATTTCTTTCACTATTTGTCCCCCTGGACTGCTTGTTTACTGTGCTGTATGTCCTTCCCTGATAAAATAAAGCCTGTATCCCATTTTCACTTCCCCTGTGCCCCTCTGTTCATTCCTCAGATCATCCAACTTTCTCAGATAAACCTCCAGCCCCAGGTGGAAGTGAGAAATTCATTCACTTCCTGTTCTCTTAGCTCTATTCACTGAGCATGTATACACACACACACAAACAAACACACACACACACAGTGCAGACACTGAATTTGATATCTTGTGATGTTTTTATTTATAGTTTCTAAACAACAATAACACTAATACATAATAATAAATAGTAATTCATAATTTGTATTTTTGTCTATGAATAAGAAATGAGATTACATATGCAAAAGGTCCCACACATTCAGACATTTAGTCTTTTATCATTGACAACCCTCACCGTTGTCAGTACATATAAAAAATGTTTCAGACAGGAAGTAGACTTTTGAATCATTGCCACATAAATTTCTCCACTGTATGTGTAAAATGTAAATTTAGTGATTTACATTCCTTGATGTTTATCCAGAAGTAATGTTGACTGGTGGGCACCAACAGATAAACACTGTAACATTTTGAGCAAGTTCACTAATAGTAATAGATTAAAGTACAGAATCAATGCAGTAATGAGTGAAAGAAATAAGGTGCAGATCACTATGATCACTAATATTCTATATTTTCAAAGCTTAAGAGCAAGTGCCATTCTTTGAGAATGGGTATTAGAATAGCAGTTCTCTTTGGGTGTCGCACCTGCTGTGCGGCCTGCATCCGAGAATGTAGTGAGGTGGTTGGGATAGATGACACAGAGACCAGTTGGTTGCTTTAAGAAAACTTTATCTTCCCAAGTCAGCTTAGGAGGAGACCCCAGTCCGCTTAGGAGAGAGCTCTCAGGAGAAGTCTCCCCAAGAAAAAAAGAGCTTCCCTTTTTTAAGGACTTCTGCCATCCATCTACATACCATTCTTTCCAGATTTCTCACCCTCCTGGCTGGTGGTTTAATCTCAGGCCCCAGAATCAGGGAGACACAGCAGGGAAACAGGAAGAGACATCTAGCCATAGGGGGTGTCAAAAGCATGGTATTTCAGTGAGCAAGCCCTTATCTGAGCCCTATCAAGAGCTTTAGCACTGAATTGTTTTCAGTAAACATTACACAGCTGCCTGCTCCCAGGCCGAAGGGGAAGTGGGTTTCTGCTCAAGGTCTGGTGTCCCCACATTTGGGTGAGTTTAAGATTTTGAGAAAACAGGATCAATAATTTGCTTCTTGTAATGTTGGAAATAGTGTGAACAGTGGTTACATCAATGCATATACATTCATCCAATGAACTCATGTCAAGTTTTTAATGTGTGTTTTTTGTCATTAAAATATCACTGAGTGGCTTAAGTCATCACAGAAGAAAACACAGTCAGGTTCCTTTATTTTCATATGATCAACCCCCACCCAAGCCCCGAGATCATGGCACTTTGCTGCCTCCATTGATATGAGTTACATTTTTCCTACCCTTCATCCATTTTCTCACTTCTTCAAGTTATTTCACAAGAACACCAACCTCCAATGTGTTCTTACTTGGGACAGGTTCAGTGGGCTTCTGCCTTTAGGAATCTTGGAGACAACCAGCTATGCAGGGCAGAAGCAGCTAAATTCTCAATGTTTTACCATGATATTTTATCATAGTATTGATACTCCACTGGACCACCATTCTCTGGCGTGTTTTATAGTTCAGAGACCTGAAGCATAAAGAAGGATTAACTTGGCTAGGATGCAGAGGAGGAAGCAAGTGGAAGACAGGAACAAGGATTTGTAGGAAAGATGCAGTTTCTCAGAGTACCTTGCCCATTCAGAACATCTGGCTAACAGACACTTTTTAGCTAACCCAGATATATACTGCTTTAACATGCATTAAACTTCTTAACTCTGAATTCTTCACAAAATGATCTCTAATGTTATCCTTAACTCAAGGAAACGAAATCCAGATACCCCTCTCCCTTTCTGACTATTCTCCTCTATATAATCCCTCATCACATGACTTAATGGAAATCCCCCCCACATCTTGCCAGTTTCAACCTCCAGCTCTTCTATTGAAGTGGATGACTCTTCAACAATAGCTTTTCCCAACTCTCATCAAAATTTAGTATAGTTTACCAGTTAGTATAAAGCATTTTGTCTTCACACTTTTATTAGAATATCAAAAATATATTATCACACCCTTCAACTCAAAGTTAATATTTTTATCTTTCATTCTTTCCTCTTTTCCTTCCCTTTCTCCTTCTCTCACCGCCCCCCATCCCTCGATTCACAGGCTCAGCAACAGCACCTGCTTCACAGAAACAAGGCTGGTCCTGTTCTCCTTTCTCTAGTCTTCCTTTGGGGAAAAAAAAAACCGAGTCCCTCTTCCTGACACCCACTGGAGTGAAAGGATATACACAGAAGAAAAACATCATAGGCAAAGCTATTCTCTTTTTTTGGACAGGGGGCATATTAAATGTCTCCCCAGTGTCGTCAAGTTCTCCTGTTTGCCTTTGTCCCAACAGTTCTGGTGTGGGGGCGAGAGGTGTCTCAATTTAGCTGTCCGGAGCTTCTAAGACTCTGCCATCTTACAGATTCCAGCGGTCTTATGCCTCCTTCTTTCCCATGGATCTCCGATGGATGTGTGTGTGTGTGTGTGTGTGTGTGTGTGTGTGTGTGTGTGTGTGTGTGTGTGTATGTGTGTGTGTAGGCGCGCGTGGTAGTGGTAATTCTCACTTGGGGGCTCACTTCTAATTAAGTAATTCGGGAGGCTCAAAAAGCAGAGAACAACCAAATGAAACCTCAAATTAGAAGGAAAACGCATCAAATGTGTCCCCATCTCTGGGAGTTCTGGTTAAGCAAGCAAAGAAAATGGGCTGGGACAAATGACTATTGTAACTCAGAAGATTGGAGAAAATGTAATTAGTTCCCCGTCTACTTCCTGTTCCTCGGGCTTTTGACACTCCAACCCTCACTCCCAACCCCGCACGCAGTCGCGAATTTATCCAGTGCTTCCTTATCCTCGCCGGGGAGGGGGATTGGAGGGGGTGGGGGAAAAAGAAAAAGAAAAAGAAAAAAGAAGTCGCTGCTGCAAAGCTGGGAGGTTTAGGAGAGCTGGTACCCCAGCCTGCCAGCTAACCAAAGGAGATTGCCGGTAGGCCTCAGAACCCTCCCCCTGCCAGGCTGCCCAGCCAATGTGCTCCTGTGAGGAGTGTGGCACAGAGTCCTATTGGCTGCCAACCTACGTGTATAAGAAAGAGCGAGAGAGGCAGGCAGGGCAGCATTGTTATCTTAAGACACTCCTCTGGTGTCTGAGTCTGCAGGTGACGCTGGTTAGGTACGGAGTGCAGAGTCGGAGTGGGGACACGCCGGGCTGCAGCCTTAGGATGGAATCCGCCTGCCTGCCGAGCGCCTCGGGGCTAGTCCTGCAGTTCCTCCGCTGAGCTTGGCGGATTCGGGAGGACTTGGGAAATGCACCTGCCGCGCGCTCCGAGGACACCCGCAGGTCCTCAGGCAGCCCAAGCAGCCGAGAAGCCTGAGGAACGGTTTCTGCCCATGTGCAAGGCAGAGATTTCGGATGACAGGGCGGGTGAGTCTCTTTAGAGTTGGGGGGGGAAAAGGCAAGATCTTGGTTTCACCTCTATCGAGGGATAGGGGACTCCTCAGTTGGCTTCCCACTTTCTTCACCTCTCCCACGCCTCGTGCAACCCAGCCTAGCACTGATCCCACTTCACAGATGCCGTGGGTGCCTGGGATGCTCGCCGCTCCGCGGCAAGGCAGCAGGCAAGTGGTCTAACCACCGCGGCGGTGACGGCGGCGGCAGCGGCAACAGCAAAACCCAGAGCAGGAGAATTTGAAAAGAGACATCTGTCCCCTCTCTCAACCTGAGGAGGAGGCTTTCGCATTTCCCCAAAGGAGAAAGAGTCACAAGAAATCATGAAGTAAAAACTTTGGAAGGCTGCCACTGGAGATGTTGCACAAAAATCGGGCATCTTTTAGGAGTCTCCTCGCAGTCCTTGGTCGTTTGGGGAGCAGCTGATACAGCAAGAAGGGCTTTTGCAAGCATTCAAGGTAACAGAGCAGGGGGTCGTGGGTTTTCTGTATCCCTTATCAGTGTAATTTTGGTGAATTCTCATCCAATCCTCTGATCTGGTGCCTGATAATTGCAAGCAAAAGGAATAATTCCCATTGTATCCTTTACTTTCTGTCAGGAGGAGCTTATCAGTGGACTTTGGGTTTGAGCTGACTCTGGTTTTGCCTCCTGGTGTGGCATGGCTGTCACAGAGCTTGGGCACTCTGCCTGACCTATATTGTTTTTTCCTGGTTTAAGTCCTCAAACTTAGTGCAACTCCCATTAGTTTTGGAAAATTCATTCGGCTCCATAATTGCAGAGGATGACAAGGACTTTTGCTTGCCTAGCTGATGCTGGAGAGAACTGCACGAGGTTCACTCTGTTTGGGGAGGACACTGAAGACCTGTTATTGCATTGCACAATACATCTGTGTTCGCATGTTCTTAAAGCCATGTAGCATGCTTTAGAGGCCAGTCTGTTTCTTCCATAGACATGTAACCAGAGACAAAAATAATTCCTAAGAGTGAACCCCACAGTCTCCCCAGAGTGTTACAGCAGAAGCCCCAATTGATTGAGTTGATCTTAGTAGTACACTGGAGACACTAAGGGAGGGGGTTATTGCTGTGCTGAAAGGAAGGGTCTACTGATACCATCTATCAGATTGTTCTCCCTGTTCATACACAGTTGAATGTTGCCTGTAGGGTGTGTGTGTGTGTGTGTGTGTGTGTGTGTGTGTGTGTTTGTGTGTGTGTTCACAGCTGTACACAGGAAGCTGGCTGCTCATAGAAACACTAAGCATGCTTGTCGAGCCTCTGCCCAGGCCATGGATGCCTGGAGTGTTCCTACCCGGTGGTAGGATGAACTTAGGCATCTCTGTTCTATTCCAGAGGAGTTCTCCCTTCACCAAGCAGTCCTTCCGCATGGTACATATTTATCCAGGGTATATAGACTTAAGCCAAATATTAACTAACAAAGCAGCTGGATGCACTGTAATGTGATTGAGCAGACCTCTCTCTAAAGAACCATATGTGTGCTTTCCCATGTCCTGGGAGCAGGTTGCCATGAGTAGGAACAAATATGCTAAGAGAATAACAATTATAAAAGATGATCTGGACCTTATTCCACAGGGACAGTTAGCCTAGGCCAATCAGAAGAATTAAATGTACCCTATTAATCAAGTATTTCTCCCCTAGGTTTTTCCTAAACATGTACGTGTTTTTACCTTTCCTTTCCTCACCCCACATCCATACTCTTAGAAGATGTGCAATGCCAATATTAACCAGGCAGCTAAAGGATTCTACTAAATCCCCTGGGGGGCAGTCTGATGACATCAGGCAACAGCTAAAGTGATGCTAGAGTTGGTGCTTTCCCTCTTGATTTCACACAGTTGTATGCATGCTTTTTGTTTGTGACATGACCTTCTGGAGTTCCTTCTCACCTGGACTGAGTTACCGTGTAGCATTGAGAGCATGACCAAGCAATGCTGCCACAGTGATCCTCTCTTACCAGTATCAGAGCTGCCACCTACTCTGGGTAAAGGTGCACACTTTGCTTCTGTGAGGAAGGATATGTTTCAAAAAGATGCAGAATACAGATGCTGTCTTGAGGGTAAGAGAGAAAAGGCCAGACCAGAGTCTTCACTGCTGTGAAGCAGCTGGTTTGTAAAGGGGTTGACAACTAGGCTGCAGCCATGGGGAAGACAGAAGCACTCTTGACTCTCACTCCTCTCTCCTCATGAAAAAACAGAGCTGGATTTCCTCTCCCATAATGGAGTGGTGTGTGCTACAGTGTGGAAACAAGAAAGAGTGAGGAAGTTAAGAGCTGGGAAGGACAGAAGAAACCTATCCTCCTCTGTTGGCCTGGTTTTCGGGATGAGAAACATCTTCTCTTCTTGTACCTCAAGATCCCCTTCTGAGTGTTCCTATCTGGCCTCCAAATGACAGGTTGTTTACTGAGCAAAGCCAGAGGGCAAGAACATCCCTGCGTCATCAACTCCTCCTGATCCTCTTCCCCAAGGCACAGGCTAGCACCTGGGGAGCACTGCCTAAGACCTAACCCTCTGAGAGCATGCTCCAGAATCCCTCTCCACTCACAAACAAGAGGTAATCTGAAAGAACTGGAGATGCTGTGTGGGCACTGGAATGCTCAGTGTTCAGGTTCCTGGCTGGTGTTTAAACAAGCACAGTGTGTTGTTATTTCTGGAGATTCAATTCTTTCCCTTAAATAATAAGTCCTTGCATACATTTTATAAAGGCCTCCCTTCCAAAGAGCTGTGAGGATTTACAGAAGTCCTCTAATTAATCCTCACATGGCTTATTGTCTCATTTGTCTTTGGTTACCCTAAGATGCAGAGCTAAATTGTTTCAGCCTCCTTTTTTGGAAAAGGGAGAACAGAGCACCCCAAACAGATATCTGTCTTAGCTCAGTTACACAGAAATAAGGAAAGTCATGGATGAGTCTGGGTCTTACTCCTCCTTCATGGCCTCTGTCCCTATGGGCTTCTTTTAAGGCATTGTTTCACCTCCGTGATTGGACCCTGACTTGATTACTTTATATTCTACTATGCTGAGAGGCTGGAAGACTGGTATGATCTAGAGCTCCTTCTCTAGTAGTGTGTCAGGGTAGTGAGGAACAAAAGCCTTAGGAAACTTTGTCCTCCATGATTCTGTAATCGAGTTGAGAGAATAGGCCTATATCTGGGCAAAGGTATATGATGGTGTATGTTGTAAACAGAAGCTCAATACAAGAGAAGTCAAAAGGCTGACCTTATTAATTGGTCATTGATCTGCACTGATAATAAGAGCTATCAGTATTTCAAGAAAGGAGAACTAGAATTGAGCTTTGAGAGTTGGGGTGGGATATTTTGGGGTAGGCAGAGGGCATGAAGGGTTCCAGTTGATAGAGAAACTCACCGTGGCATAGGTAAGAGGCTAGACATGTGATGAATTGCATGGTTCTTTGGGGCCACTTTTTTTGCAATCTGGAAATCCTATATATCTAAGTTAATTATATTAAACATGTATGACCTAGAAGAAGTTTGTCCAAGACACAGTCAGAGGGTTCTGAAATACTGGGCATCTCATTAGGCATCAAAAAACGTTAGCTGGCCTTCCATCCACTCTCAGATCTAATCCACATACAAGGAGAAAAACATTACTCAAGGTCAGAAAGCCCATCTACTTCATATCCAAAAATTTGAATAAGGATGGTGGGGAAAGCAGGCAAATTTCAGCAGAACATGAGAAAAATCTTCTTTTAGTTTAGAATCAGAATCTCTTAAGAGGGAGCTTTGATTTTTCCTCCATTTCCCATTTCTCCACCCAAATGTTCCTCTTGGGGTTTACTGGAAGCCGGCAAAATGCCAAAGCCCTTAGGCATTTAGCATTGAGCAGAAGATTTTCAATCTTAAGATTCTTGAGCATGCCCATGTACATAACCTCTTGTCTCCTCTTCTCTTCCTCTTTTAATAAAACATATGCTGTAGCAGTCACAAAGGAGGAGACCACAAAAAGGCAGGAGGGGGTGGGGAGTGGTACTGCCCGCAGCTGTACCATGAGGTACTGTGATTGCTCAGCAGTGCAAGGAAGGGGAGAGGCATAATGTCAGCCTAGGCAGTGCCAAGGGAAGTCTAAGGATTGCCGCTCTCTACCAGAAGAAGATTCTGGCTAGCTAGACATACACACTTGTTCCAGGAGTCGGTCTCTCTTCCAGGGAAAAGATCAAGAACAGCATAGATCCTGTGAGAGAGCCAGCTTCATAGTGATCTTGGTCTTCTCTTGGTTTGAGTCAGCATGCAGGCTGCATGTCACTGCATGAATGACTCCATTCCTAGAATACAGAAAGCTTTCACTGGGTGTGAGAAGAGAATGATTTGCCACAATTCACACCATAACTTCTGTGAGGTCTGAAGGAAATTCTCTAGAAGCCCAGTCTCTTTTTGGTACTTTGGCCCAGGAGTGCAATCACTGATCTTAGGAGACGTTTTAACTCTCTTGAAGGTCCTACCCTTAGCTCTGCTGTCACCCTTGTGTCTGCCAGCACCCTTGTGCTAATTAACATGTAGCTGGACTGGGTGTAGTTATCTTCTCTCTTTCCTTGTAGAAGCATCCACTACCATTTTGAGGTTGAGGCAGAGCCCAAGGCACTTGATGTGTGGTTCATAGTTTTGGAGGAAACCCTGCTCTGTTTGTGAGGGAAGTGTCAGAAGTCTCACTTATGAAGACTGCAGTGGACTGGCCTTCTCTCAACAGGTTGATCTTCTTTAATTGTCACTCTGCTATGCAGAGGAATGTAGAACACTGTCACGACAACCTGCAATCTTCAATGGCTGGTACAGTCCCATCATTTATTTTTCTGAAACTCACTTGCAATGCTAAACATCTGGGTTTCTGGGCTGGATAAAATGAGGAGCCATTACAGGCAGAATCTACCCAAGAACTATGCAGGTAGCTCAGGAGTTCTTGAAATGTGTGACAGAATCATAAAATGAAAGTTGGGACGTAAAGACTTACTTTAAAAAGTCATATAAAGTTGATAATAGTGCTTGCCCAGCCTGTTCAAAGCCCTGCTTCTCATCCCTGGCACCACAGAAACCATGCATGCCTATACACACCTGTTAACCCTACTACTCAGTAGGTGGAGGCAGGAGGAACAGAGGTTCAAGGTCATCCTGTACTATACAGAAAGAAGGAGGCCTACAAGGAACATAGGAGACCCTGTTTCAAAGAACAAAACATCCCATATACACAAAAGAAAGCAATGTAAAACTATCACTAGTTTTATACTGATCTTAGGTTAAGATGATCTAATATTTCAGATATGCTGGGTTAAATAAAACCCTGTTAGTTTTGTTCATTTCTTTCTTTAGTTTTTAAGATAGGTACCAGAAAGTTAGATTTATCTGTGGCAGGCATTGCATTTCTTTTGGACTGTGCTGGCCAGGCCCTGCAGAGTAGTGGCAGGTTAATGGGGAAAAAAGGGCAAAGCTTGAGACAGGAGG